GGCGGCCCCCGAGATAGAACTAATTAGAGGCTGAGATTCGAATACAGAATGACTGAGAGATGAAGAGAAAGTCAGTGACTGAGAAATGGAAAAAGAGAGAAAGAGAAACCAACCAGTACAAAGAAGATGGCACTGGACATGAGAAGCAGAGAAACACAGGACAACGTATAGAGAGATGGTGGAGAGACCGAAACAGAATCAGTGAGAGAAAGTGTCAGAGGCCAGACCTGAAAGGCAGATTCAGAGGGACAGATAGAGATGGTCGGAGGAGCGACAAGAGAGACAGGGACGGAGAGATAGGGCCAGCACAGGGATAGGGAGTCCAAGCAGGAGGGTAGGAAGCCAGGCAGGGTGGCCATTTCATTGCCTCCCCAAAATGAACTGGCTTTTGATTCCCCCCTCGGGGATTTCTGTGTGTCTGTCTCTCCTTCACCCTATCACCGGTGGGAGAAGTGGGTGGCTGATGCTGGGGGTTGTGGTCTCAGGAATGAAACCAATCCAGCTGGAGAGAAGGGAATCCTAGGCTGTGGCGGATCCAGGCCTGGGCAAGGAAGTGTGGGAGAAGGTGGCTTTTAAGTTGGGCCTTAAAGGATGAATTAAAGTCCGTCAGGTGAGGAGGGTTTGGGCCATGTTGAGAGACTGCATGGGCAAGAGTCTGGAGGTTGACAGGCTGTGGTATGTGCAGGAGGGAGATGTGGCTGTGGGTGCTGACTTTGCCTGAAGGGCCTCCTGCTGTCTGTCCCCCAGGTGGGTGCCCGAGTCTGCACGCTGGCTTCTGACCCAGGGCCGTGTGGAAGAGGCCCACAGGTACTTGCTCCGCTGTGCCAGGCTCAATGGGCAGCTCGTGGGTGAAGACGGCCTGAGCCGGGAGGTGAGGGAGAATGTGTGTGTGTGAGTGCACGTGCGTGCATGAGAGGGACGTGCATGTGTGTGTGTGTGAGGCCTATGTCAAGCGCCCCCTTCCTGGGGCCCAGTGTGTGTGTGCAGGAAAAGTTTCTGGCCTCCAGTGGACAGTTCCAAACTCTTCAAAATGTCCTGCCTGGCTCCGGTGGGCCACAACCTTTACTCAGGGCCCACCCTATTCAGCTTGCAAGTGCATCCCCACCCCCACTGCTGAAGAAGGAAGAGTAGAGACCCAGGAAGATCAATGTGCCTAGCTAAGCCATGTGCCTAAGCCAACTCTGATGTCATAAACTCTCCTTCTCTCCCACCAGGCCCTGAACAAAGTGGCCACTCGGGAGCGAGTGGTTCAAAGACCCTCCTACCTAGACCTGTTCCGGACCCCACGGCTCCGACACATCTCACTGTGCTGCATGGTGATGTGGTAAGGAGGGGGCCTGGCCTGGGCCTGGCAGGGTGGGCATCGGTGGACAGAGGGGCGGCAGACTCCGGGATGGTGCTGAGTGTGAGAGGAAGATGGACAAGTGAACTGTAACTGTGCAGAGCAGGACGACCAGCCCCTGGGGGCAGGGGGCTCTGGAAAGTTACAAGATGGAGCAGTCATCAGAGGCGGGGCTCAGAAGCAGGCTCTGCCACTTCCTTGCTGTGAGACCTTGGACAGGTCACAACACCGAGCCTCAGAGCCCCTTCTGCAAAACAGGACACTGTTAGTTCCTACCTCAAGGCTTGCTGTGAAGATTAGGTAAAGACGCTTTGGCCATTGGCACTTGCTGCACACTCCCAGGGGTTATGGGGACAGGGAAGGTGGTGGGCAGTGGGCTCTGGAGGTGGGGGAGGCGGTCCTTCTAAAAAGTCAAGCTTCCCTAAAAAGAGAGGACAAGGAGTCGGCGTGAAAAAGAGGGTGGCACCCTGAGTGGCATCCTGACCCCTTTCAGGTTTGGAGTGAATTTCTCCTATTATGGCCTGAGCCTGGACGTGTCGGGGCTGGGGCTGAACGTGTACCAAACGCAGCTGCTGTTCGGGGCTGTTGAGCTGCCCTCCAAGCTGCTGGTCTACCTGTTGGTGCGCCACATGGGACGCCGTCTCACGCAAGCAGGAATGCTCCTGGGCACGGCCCTTGCTTTGGGTATCAGTCTGCTGGTGCCCTCTGGTGAGCCCCACCCACTGCCCGGAGGCCCCGCCTCCTGCCCAAGAAGGCCCGCCCTTTCCCGGAAGCGCCCGCTCAAAGTCCCGCGCTCGGGGAACCTCCCATCGCGGGAACTCTGGGTCTCCCGCAAGGCCCGCTCACTCCCCGAACCCTTTTTCCTCCAGAGATGGGAACAGGGAGCATCGCCCTGGCTGTGATAGGGAAAGGTTTTTCTGAAGCTGCCTTCACCACTGCCTACCTGTTCACGTCGGAGTTGTACCCTACTGTGCTCAGGTGAGGGGAGCCTGGGTTCCAGGCAACCCACCTGGGGGAGGGCTTGTAGTCACATCTTTTTACCAGCAACCCCCACCCCCCAACACACACACTCACACTGCCACCCAGAGGGCTTGTAGTCACATCTTTTTACCAACACCACACACACTGCAGCCCAGTTCCTCCTACCCGTTCCTTACACGGAACCCAGAATACAAGAGCTAATCAGAGCTGTCTGTGCTTGTTTAAATCTGGTAGAAGGCAGAGCATTTTATTGTTACTAAGTGACCCTGAGCGAGGTCACACTTCTCTAGGCCTCATTAAAAGAAAAGTCACAAAAAGCGCTATCTGCCCTTCCCTTCCCATTCACTACAGCCCCAGGCAGTGCTGCCTAGGGGGTTGTCTCTGGACTTAAGGCCTGCCCCCCCCCAACTTTTTTTTTTTTTTACCTTTTTAAAGACTATATTCATTTGAGAGAGAGATGAGAGAGAAAGAGAGAACATGAAGTGGGGAGAGGGGCAGACAGGGAGAGGGAAAGGGAGAGAATCTCAAGCAGACTCCCACAGAGCTGAGGCGGGGCTTCATCCCTCAACCCCCAGATCAGGACCTGAACCAAAATCCAGAGTGGCCATGCCCAACCAATTTAGCCACCCAGGCACTCCTTGGTATCCTTTCAACTAGCTATTGGCAGGTAGGGACTGGGTAAATTTAGAAAGCCTTGTTCCTCCTCTACCAACATGGCAGGGTCTCTAGGAGCTGGGACCTTCTTCCTTCCACACTACGCTTTCCCTACCCGCTTTCTGATGACTTTTCTTTTCCTTCAGCAGTACCTGATTGATTCTGTCAGAATGGGGGTCCCATCCTCTGGTGAATACTGGCTTGGGGTCCCTGGCCTGGGGACAGATGGGAAGACCACCTGGAAGAAGCCTCAGCTTTCTTAGCCATCTAGGGAGAAGGGGGCTCAGGACATGCCAGCCCAGGATGGGAGCCCTCTGAGGCATGACCCTAAGTAGATGTGAACACCCACCCGTTCCCCCTTCCTCTCTCTGAACAGACAGACAGGGATGGGGCTGACTTCACTGGTGGGCCGGCTGGGGGGCTCTCTGGCCCCACTGGCAGCTTTGCTGGATGGAGTATGGCTGTCACTGCCCAAGCTCACTTATGGGGGGATCGCCCTGCTGGCTGCCTGCACTGCCCTCCTGCTACCAGAGACGAGGCAAGCACAGCTGCCAGAGACCATCCAGGACGTGGAGAGGAGGTGTGCACAGAACGACTGTTTGTGTGAGCACATGCATGTGGGAATGAGTGCTCAAGTACCTGATGCCTTAGGTAGGATGCAGAGAGGACGTGTCTGCATGTTGTGTATCTGGTGCTTCTATGCAAGTGTGCATGGGCATATGACTTGAGGTATGTAAAAGTACACGAGTCCATATGTGTGTGTACATGGATATCCAAGATTGTTCAGGAAGAGGTGGATGTGTGCACACTCAGGTATGCCTGTGCATCAGGGATGTGTGCAAGCATGTGTGGGAGTCACCTGTGGGAGTACCCATGTTTGTATACTAGCAGATGGGGGGAGGTGTAGGCCAGCCCTGATGGGGCAGGCTCGGGTGGGAGGCCCAGGGGCTAAACCCCACCACTGCTCATGACTCCTTCCTCCCCAGTGCCCCATCCAGCCTTCAGGAGGAAGAGACGCCCATGAAGCAGGTCCAGGACTGAGTGGTATCGGGACAGGCTCTCCACAGAAGTTCTGCAGCAGGGGCTAGAAGACCAGAAGGGCAGGCCCTGTGGCTGGGGCTGGGGGCATCAAGCCCCATCCCCAGGGCTGGGGTGGCCAACGGTACCCCCTCTCTGTGCTCATTCAGCCTCGACTATTCGGCCTCCAGCAGCTGGGTGACTTCCTAGAATGCGGTCGGCTGCTGAATAATTCTGGTACCCTTGTCATGGCTGGGAGAAGTTCTAGAAATGAAGGTGCCCCAAGGGTTTGGGGCAGCATGGACGAGCCCTGGATGGGAAGCCAGTCTGCCCCTGTGATCTGATCCCAACTTTGCCACTGATTTGCTGTGTGACCTTTGGCATGTGGCTTTCCCTCTCAAGGCTTCAGTCTGTTCATCTCTTGAACGGATAATGAAGGCTCTTAGTAGACCTCACCACAGGATCTATCTTTTGTCAGGCTCAAATGAGATACCGAATAACGTGCTTCCTCTAGAGATGGTGCTAAAGAAGGGACTGCCCTTTGATGACTTCTAGCACCAACAGGCTTGTGGGCATGCTGTCCACTGTGTGGTACTGGGAGCTTCCCGGGTCGAGGGTAACCAGGAGAACAGAGCTCTTTGTTCCCATGATTGGCCCTATACCTCTCAGGCACTTTGCAGGGTGATGCATCCCCCACCCCACGCCTCCCATCTTCCACCCCATTGTTTAGGCCTCATGCCCAAAGAAGAGTTGAAGGCATGGGAGCCAACATTTTATTGGAGAAGCCAGAATAAACACGTTTCTTAAGTACCTTGAAATTACAGAATTTGCTAGGAAAAGGGACTGGGAAGGCCGGGAGGACACCCTTTAAAATGTGGTGGTCTATGTCCTCCTGGCCAGACAGGAACGAAGTGAGGAATCAGCAAGGTTTAGGCTCCCTGGTCTACCATGGAGCCTAGGCCCAGGCCACTGGAAGACCATCTCCTCCCCCCCCCCCCGCCCCCGCCGCCCCATGGGACTGGAGAATTCTGTAGCTCCCACTCAACCATGGAGGGGATGGTATGAGGCCTGAGTTAGAGTGACCTCTCCTGTGAGCGTCTCATTTGGATTTTATCTCCACGGGGTCATAGATGTAGCAGCCCACATCACCAATGTTCACACCTGAGGGAGAGAGCCCCGTCACCAAGGGCCTTGGGGGTGGGGATTGTTGGGCTGAGGGATGAAGGGAATCGGGAGGGGCCTGGGTGTGTTTGACTACAGGGGAAGTTGTCCACACATCCCCACATGCCATACTTTAGGCCCACTGTCTGGGGTGGGGCTGCCCACCTTTGGGGCCAAACAGGTAGCCGTAGCAGGGGATGTGGCAGTAGGGGACGCCGTCATGCTGGGACATAGAGAGAAAAGAGAGCCATCTCAGCTTGGCTCTCTTCCCATCTCCAGCCTACCTCCTCCCGACATAAGTACCCATCCCTGCCCCGTTCACCTCAGCATGACTCCCAGCAGTCAGGGTCTTCCGGCAGCGCTGGCACCTCAGACAGGGTCGGTGCCAGTTTCTACCCAAAGACATCACCTTCTCAGCTGGTGGTGGAGAGAACTGGTAATTCTAGGGCAGGGCAATGAGACCTACCTGCTTTGCACCACCTCCCTACACTTTGATGCCCATCCTCTTCCCTCCTCCCCAAGCTTCCCATTGTCACTTACCAAAATAGACAGGTTCCTCGCAGCCAGGGCACAGTGAAGTCTCCCCAGTGAATGTCTTCATGTGGGGAGGGCCTTTAAGGGGAAGAGGCCCTGGCTAGGGCTGAGGTGGGGGCCAGGCCTAAGCAGGGCCCATCAGCACCAGCCTGCACATGGCTTCTTCAAAAAGCCATGCTCATCCCGGAGCACTCCACCCAGCTCGCCATAGATCTGCTTTCTTCGGCAGAGCTGAGTCTCCTATGAACCCACCTCCTGTCCCCAACCTTTCTGCAGAAGGGACCCCCTGCTTCCTTCTCCTCCCAGGGGTTCAGGTGCCCACTAGCTCAACCCTGGTCAGCAACTCTATCCTCAGGAAACCTGAGCTGATACAGGAGCAGGCCAGGGCATGGGTGTCAGGTGTTGGGGAGCATGGCGTCATTGCCCACTCTAGGGAATGGGAGGAAGGTACAGGGAGAGGAGAGAAGTGGAAGAATAAGAGGGGCTGACCCTGTCTCAATGACCTCTCACTCCTCGGTCATTCCTTCCATGGCCTTGGCTTGGGAGAGGCCTGAATTCCAGGCCAGCTTTGCCTGACTCGCTATGTGACTGCACAATGCCACTTGCTCTCTCCAAACCTTGGTTTCCTCACCTGTAAAATGCAGGTGATAGTGCCGTCTACCCAATTTACCTCTTAACTCAGCAGCTGACATCAGAGAACCCCCCAAAAGGGCCACGAGTAAGAGAAGACTTTGCCACAAATGAAGTTATAGGAATGTGAAGCAGAGGACTAAGTGGGAGACCTGTTCCAGCCTGGGGATGAGGAGTAGCTGGGGCCCAACTTCACTTACTTTTCTTGCCCTGGGGGAAGCCAGTCCTGGGCCTGGGGGGGCTGAAACTGCTGGGGCTGAGGGGAGTGGTGCTGGCTGGGGTGGGAGTGGGAGGGTTGTAGAGGTAGGAGCCCACACCACCAATGTTCACCCCTGCAGAGAAAATAGTGGCTGTCAGGCTTGAACCTCCAGTTCCCGGCCACAAAGAGGGTCCTGCTGTCCCCTGGCCTCTTCTAGGCTGGTACTTACCTCTGGGTCCGAAGAGAGCCCCATAGCATGGCTTGTGGCAATATGGCCTCCCGTTGTGCTAGGCACAAGCAGAGGAAAGAAGGTTGCTCAGAACTAAAGGCCTGGGGTAGGGTGGGGGGCGGGTCTCCTGTGTCCCACAGGCCTTCTCTCAGGACAGACTGCCAGGTGTGTCTGTCCATTGGCCTGGGCTTGTGGGGCCCGGAGAGGTGTAGGGTGAGCATGTCAGAATTGCCACTGTGGTCAGGAGAATGAGCAACAGCAGGACAGAAAACCGTGGCTTCCCTCCCCTCCCCACCAAAAGGAATGGGGTCCACCAGCACAACTCAGGTATCCCAAATCCTGGCTGGTGTGGGGCCCTCCGAGTAGGTGGTCTTGGTATTTGCTGAGGTTGCCTTTAGTGAGCCTCCTGAGTCGAAACTGGGGGCTGGTGCTTAGGGGACAGTGACAGATAGCCCTGGCCAGGCCTCACCTCTGCATGCCCTCCTGGGGACAGGACGCTGTGGCAGCGCTCACATTTCAGGCAGAAGCGGTGCCAGTTCTTGCCCAGGGAGCTCACCTTCTCCGCTGTGGGGGACAAGGTGGAACCGGGCAGTGGGGAGATAGGCCACGCAGCGGGGGGCCCCCTTTTCCCTCCTTAGCCCCGCCCGCCTGCTTCCTAGAGACTGTGGGGAGTGTCCCGGGAAGTTCAGCTCGAACCCGCCCGAGTGCCCTGTGCCCCAGAGGTGGAAAGAGGGTCTGAGGCCACACTGTCGTAAACTCCTCCAACGCCCCGGCTGACACTCGCCCCATCTCCCCCTCCTCAGCCCGCGCCTCACCGAAGAAAACGGGTTGCTGGCAACGCGGGCAGGTCCAGCTCATGGCTCCGCTCAGCGCAGCCTGCGCCTCACACAGTAGGCACCACCGTGGGGGGCTTCGGTCCCGCCCCCTCCGCCGGCCCCGCCCATGGCTCCGCTGGGAGCCTCATTGGGCTGAAACAGTAGCTCCTCGCGCCTATTGGCCGTCAGAAATTTAGACAATTCCACCTGGGAGACGCCGGCGATTTCGCAGTTACTTCCAAAAGCTAAAGCCTCCGACCCGTGGAGGTGACAGAGGGACTTGTAGCCAGACGGGGGCGGGGGGGGGGTGGTGGTGCCGGGGGCGGGAGAGGGCATTAATTTCTGTCTTCGAACAAAGGGGAAAATTGTCCAGAGGGCGGACTTCATGAAAACACTGTAATTTCCTCAAAGCTAAGGGTCAGCCTTCTTTGAAATGGCTTAACTCCGCCTTGACCGTCTCAGGAGGTTAAGAGCGTCGGAATCTGGAGCGCATCTCTGCCACTTACTCTCTGGCTTCAGGCAAATTTCCTCTGCATCCATTTTGTTTGCACAATGAGTATGATGATTAATCTCTACCTCATAGGATTGTTGTGGGAATGAAGCTAGTACGCGTAAAGGGCCCAGTGCTTGGCACATAGCTGCTATAAAAGCGATAGCTATTATTAAGATGGATCCCATAATGAACTCAAAAGACTCTTTGGTAGCCTCAAAGTGTGGTCTGGATACAATGGTTTTCTTGTGAAATTACAAAGCGTGTTAAATTTAAATATATAACTCAGACACAACACAATTACATATTCCTAATTTAGTTTCAAGGTTTTAATATTTGTTACAAGTAGCCCAAGAGTGTTTCAAAGGACACTTCAAGAAAACCCACAGAGAAAGGAAGAAAATATTTGCAAACATGTATCTGATAAGGATCTAGTAATAAGAATATATAAAGGACTGTTACACGTCAACAAAGACAACCCAATTTAAAAACAGGCAAAGAATTTGAATAGACATTTTTCTAAAGAAGATATACACATGGCCAACAAGCACATGAAAAGGTGCTCAACATCATTAGTCATTTAGGGAAAAGGAAAATCAGGATCACAATGAGATACCATTTTAGAAGTATTAGAATGGCTATAATAAAAAAGATGAGTAATAACAAGTATTAGGATGTGTCAAAATTGGATTCCTCATATGCTATTGATGAGAATGTAAAATAGTGCAGCCCTTTGAAAAACATCTTGGTAATTCCTCAAAAGGTTAAAAAGAGTTGCCGTATGATCCAGCAATTGCAATCCTGGGTATATACTGAAGAGAAATGAAAGCATATGTCCACATGAAAACTTGCACATGAATGTTCATAGTACTGCTATTCACAACAGCTGAAAGTCCATCAGCTGATAAACAGATGAGCCACGTGGCTTATCTGTGCTAGAACAGGACTCAGCCATAAAAAGGAATGGAGTACTGATGCACACTACAACCTGAATGAGCCATAAAAACATGCTAAATGAAAGAAGCCAGACATACAACACCATATACTGTAGGATTCCATTTATATGAAATATCCAGAAAAGGGAAATCCATAAAGACAGAAAAGTGGATTAGTCATTCCTAGGGGTGTGGAGGAGGGGCAACTGGGCATATCTGCTGAGGGGGTATTAGATAGATCTCTTTGTGGGGAGATGAGAATGGTGTGGAATGAGTGATGATAGTTGGACAACCTCATGAATATATTAAAAATGAATTGTGTATCTTAGAAGGGTGAATTTTATATGTGAATAATTCCTCAATAATAATAATAATGGACGGGGCACCTGGGTGGCTCAGTGGGTTAAAGCCTCTGCCTTCGGCTCAGGTCATGATCCCAGGGTCCTGGGATCGAGCCCCGCATCAGACTCTCTGCTCAGCAGGGAGCCTGCTTCCTCCTCTCTCTCTCTGCCTGCCTCTCTGCCTAATTGTAATCTCTGTCAAATAAAATAAATAAAATCTTTAAAAAAATAATAATAATAATGGCCAAAGATAATTTATTTTTTTAAAAAGGCAGCTCAGGAAATGAGGGTCAGGGAAGAGAGCTAATTACTGTGTGCCAGTGCTCCAGCAGAGAAAACAATCCCTTGATGAAGTATTAGGTGGTGAAATGAAGAATTTTCTGGGGTAAATTCCTTTGTTTTGTCATATCAGCCCAGAAACAGCTCAAGGGGGCATGTGTGCTGAGCTTAGCCTTCAGCTGCAGTCCTGTGTCCTGCTGGGCGAAAGGGGTCCTATCTGTCTCAGGAGTTCGAGAGCCTCTCTGGACTTCGGTTCCCTCCCTGGGCAATGGGATAGGAATGGTGTCTATGAATTTCCACTCAACATTCCTGTTTCCTCAGTTGTCTCTATCCATACTTTCTTCTTATAACACTTGTTTTATCCTCCTTGTTGACCTCTAAAGGTAGAAGCCTGCATACCATGAAACAAATTTGTCTATATTTTCTCATTATCTGTTTCTCGTTTTGGGAACTATTTCAAGATCCTCAGTTTTATACCTGTTTCTTGATGGGCTTAACAAACTTGAAAAACATTAGTCTCAGTCTCCACCAATATTTTACTTTTGTGTTTCTGCTTCCTCGTTCATTTCTTCTTCCAGAAGGCAGCTTGAGGTTCACTGTTTTTTGCTCTCTATGGCTCTCATGGAGAAGCTCTTACTTCAGGAGGTTGGGAGGACTTCATTGTAGTCATTCATAGACACTGTATTTATTGTCCTTTAGAAAGGTTAGCTTCATTGGCCCACAGAACTATCCTTAGAATTTCTGGGGCATATCAAATCATCTTTCGCTGAGGCTCTGCAGCTCTTTCTGTGTTGGGTCACCTTGGACACATACCTCAGCCCTGTAGAGAGGTCATCTTTACCAGAGCATCCAGCACAGGACCCCACATAAAGAAACAGGTGTCGGACTGTGAGCACCATGGTGCCTTCACACAACTTGCACTGAGTCAGTGGGGCAAGTGCTTTACTGCTCCTGTCTTCTGGGGCCTTCCTGCATTGCATGGCCATGACAAACAGAGTATGCCTTGTCTCTTCTCTTTCAGTACTTAGGAAAGGCTAGTTGAGGCTCCTCCTTTCCAAATATTGGCCATCCAGTTGCAAGTACAGTAAATCATAGTATTCCACTCTTCCTTGACTGGCTTCTATTATTCTGTCTCTAAAAGAGGCTTTGTAAAGATTGCTAACAGGGAAAATGAACACTTCTTGTAGGAATGCACTTGCAGTTACTGACGGTGGCTGTTCTGAACACTTTGTGTGACTAAAGCCTCTAACATGATAGTTTAATGAATACCACAAATGGTTAAGTTCAGTAGAGTGTATGTAGCACCCAATCAGCTGTCAGGGTGGAGTTTGTGTCCTCTGAGAGGCAGATCCCTCTTTAATAAAGATGATTGTTCCCTTGGTGCCCCTCAAATACCCCCTACTTTTTCCTGCACAGACCTGTCACATTATTACACTTACATACTTGTCGGGCTTTCTTCAACCAACATGACTGATTCTTATCTGTGTACCTATAGCACCAAGTACAGTGGGGGTGCTCAGTATGATAGTTATTATTTTTTAAAGACTTTTATTTTTGGGGCACCTGGGTGGCTCAGTGGGTTAAAGCCTCTGCCTTTGGCTCAGGTCATGATCCCAGGGTCCTGGGATCGAGCCCCGCATCGGGCTCTCTGCTCAGCATGGAGCCTGCTTCCCCCTCTCTCTCTGCCTGCTTTTCTGTCTACTTATGATCTCTGTTAAATAAATAAAATCTTTAAAAAAATAGACTTATTTTTAGGTAATTCGTATGCCCAACATGGGGCTCAAACTCACAACCCTGAGATCAAGAGTCACTTGCTCCACTGACTGAGCCAGCTGGGTGCCCCTATTTTTATTATTAATGAAATCCATCCCTTACACTTTTTACTTCATGTTTTTAGGCTCTATTGTTAGGTACATTTGTTTTCAGACTGTTGGTAGTTTTTGATGAATTGACACTTTTATTGTTATGAAGTTGAAGAAATAAGCTTTCCAACAAGATGAGTGGTGGTGAAGATAATGACCCCAAACACCTGAGGGCTGTCACATGGATGAGGCATTAGGGCACTACTGAGACCCCTGGAGAGAGGTCACAGAGAAGCAGATTGGGATTCTGTCCAAGGAAAGAACGTTCTTACAGAGCCCAAACACGGGGTGGCTGCTTCAGATAGTAGGAGCTTCCTATCTCTGGATGTCATAAATAACACTGGAGAACAAACCAACTGATCACTAGTGTTGCCGAAGGGATGCAAGCATCATACACAGACAGATCTTCGAGTTTTCCTCACAATTTGGCAGTATATGATTCTGTGATTCTATTATCAAAGAAGAGTTTCAAATTTGTGTTAGCAAGAGAGCACTGTTAAAACAGTGACAGCTAGGGGCGCCTGGGTGGCTCAGTGGGTTGAGCCTCTGCCTTCTGCTCAGGTCATGGTCTCAGGGTCCTGGAATCGAGCCCTGCATCTGGCTCTCTGCTCAGCAGAGCTTCCTTCCCCCCTCCGCCTGCCTCTCTACCTACTAGTGATCTCTGTCAGATAATAAATAAAAATCTTAAAAACAAAACAAAACAGTGATAGCTACCACCCATGGAGCACCAGTCACAGTCACTGTACTTGTTATTTATGATCCTATAACACCCAGGTGAGGGGTTTAAATGCTACATTATCGGGGCACCTGGGTAGCTCAGTTGGTTAAATGTCTGCTTTGGCTCAGGTCATGATCCCGGCTCAGCAGGGGAGTCTGCTTTTCCCTCTCTCTCTGCCCCTGCTTGTATGCTCTCAAATAATAAATAAATGAAAAATGCTACATCATCAATTGTACATAAGAGCAAACTGGCTTGGAGAGGTAAAGAGATTTGTTCAAATCATACAGACTCAGGATTCTCAAGTTCATAGTCTTTCCACTCCCTGCTCCTAAGCATGGTTTCTGCTAAGCTGCCCATGTGTTTGAGTCTGAAAGGATATTATCCTTGTCTACACAGCATCTCTGCGCCCAAAGGTAAGAGAACCTCTCCAAGTAAAGAATGAATGGGTTGCAAGAGATGGGAATGTCATTAAAGCTTTTCCAT